ACCTCTAATTTGTTTTCTAAGTGAAGCCTGTGTGAACATGGAGCCTGTGCTGGGGCTTGGAGCCATGGCTCATCTGTGGTTCACCTCCCACCATCTCCTCACCTTATCAGGCGTGTTCTTAGCAGTGAGACCCTGAACATGGGGAGGATAGAGATGGGGTGCACATGCTAAGTTGCAGGACAGAGCCTGTGGGTGCCTGTGAGAGTCTGCTCTCATCCTGTGAGTGTCCCAGTGCCCAAGGGAATGAGACATTAAGTAGCAACTAAGACCACATGACAGATCTAGAAAGAGACCATGGTGTTGTATGAAAGGAGAGAAGGTTAGCACTCCCCTTGACAAGGATGGAAGAGGCTCTCGGGCCTAACAACACGCATACGGTTAAGGCATTGCCACCTACTCTTAGAAAGAGACCATGGAAGAAAGGAAAGCTTGGTTTTATATCTGCTTTTGGAACAAGGGGCCCCACATCTTCACGTTGCCCTGGTTCCAACAACTGTATGGAGCTGGTCCCGACTCTTTCATTTGTGTATCTGTTCAATTTCAGCTCCTCAGAGACATTTCCTAATCACCCTATCACAGGGGTGACCCACTTTTCCTGTAAAGGACCAGAGAATAAAGTAGTTCAGGCTTTGTGGGTCATAGAGCCTCTGCTGTAACTGCTCAGCTCTGCTGTGATAGTATGAAAGCAGCCATACACCAGATATAATGAATGGGCATGTATATGTTCCAATAAAACATTATTTATGGACACTGAAATTTGAATTTCATGTAATTTTCACCTGCCATTAATATTATTTTTCCTTTGCCCCTCCTCCCCAATCATTAAAAAATAGTCAGATCTGTAGTTTGCTGATTCTGGTTAAGTAAATATGTGTGGGAGCAAGTCCTTGGGAAAGTAGGGAGAGATGAGCGCTGGACCACAGGCAAGGGAGGGAGATGTTTTAGAGGAGAAGTTACAATGAACACAAGTGCAACTCATTTTACAAATTGAAACTTGGCAAATTCCATTTGTAATTTTAATGTTTTCGTGAAAACACTTTTCTTTCTTATACTGAATAGCTTGGTAGGGTTCCATCAGGATAGGTTTTTTTTAAGTGAATGTATTAAAATCAAAACAAGTATTCCAGGCCCATCTCCATTTTTAATAATGCTACTAGTTCTCTTTGTTCTTTCTCCCATTACTATTATTTCATTTCTCCACACAGATATTTCTTTAATCCTGCCATTGTGTTTTGTGTTTTGAGGCACCATTTACTTATGTCAAGATGTGAACACATGGCCTTTCCTTTTCTTTGAAGCCCTTCTGCTTGCTACTTATGTGATCTTGAGTAAATAATTTAACCTCTCTGATCCACTGATCCTGTGCTAGTTAGGCTAAGTAGTGCTAGCTGACACGACAGACGAACCCAGAATTGCAGTGGTTTAACATAAAGGAGGTTTTACCTCAACTTCTTAGAAGGTCCAATGTGGATTGAATGACCCTCCTTCATCTTGGAACTACATCATCTGCAGAGTAAGAGAGGGCTGGAGAAGGCTCACTTCTACAGACAGTCTATTGGTCAGAATTAGTTACCTATCACCAACCTAAGTGCACATAAGGCTTGGAAATAACAAGGAACCTATGTTTATAGTTTTGTTGAGCACTAAAATGGTCTCTTAGAACAGGGGTTGGCCAATGTTTTCTCTATAGGACCAGGCAGTAAATATTTCAGGTGTTGCAGATAATGTGACTTCTGTCTAAACTTAAAGTAAATGAATGGGCATAGATATGTTCCAGTAAAACTTGATTTTCAGCAACATGAGGCAGGCCAGATGTGGGCCAGAGGCCGTAGTTTGCTGATCCATATGATTCTTCCTTTTTATTACCTCAGATGCTCAAAGAGCTTTGGGCAATAACTCTCCTCTCTTTGTTCTTCAGACTGGGTAATAGCTGATGGACAGTTCTGAAGAGGTAAATAAGCATGGGGTCAGCTGATCACTGATCAATGGTTCCTTCCCTTCAATTTCTATTAGCTTATCTCCCTTTCTCCAGATATCTTATTTGAAGTTATGCTGCAGTGAGATCATAGCACTCTGCTCAAAGAAAGAAAGGGAAAAGGGAAAGTAAAATGTAGATTTGCATGACCATGCATTAGACAGTCTACACTGAGTCCTGAGAGCACACAAGCATACATCCTTCATGTTCCTGTGTAGGAATATATACATTTGTGTTTCCCATTAAAGAACTTATCTTCTGGTATTTACCCAAGCGAGAAATCTGTGAGCCACCCTAGACTCCTCCCTTAAAAATCAATCTTCCCATACAATCAGATGTCAAGACTAAAAAGCTAACCTCATTAGCATCTCCTAAAAACATCTGCTATCTCTAACCCTGTTGCCATTGCTTTACTTAGGATCTTGTTATGTCATGGCTGGAATTCTATAACATCCTCCTAATTAGTTTTCCTTCCTCAAGTCCAACCCTGACCAATCTATTCTCTAAATTGCTAAAGTAAGTTTATTAAAATGCAAACTCAGCTATCAAAACCTTGCTTGAAAATCATTCAGTGTTTTTTTTTAAAATGTTCACATTAAAGACCAAACTCATTGGCATGGCATTTAGAGCCCTTTATGATTTGGCCCCTGCAACTTACAATATCCCACGTCTTGAACCCACCACTACCTTCACGTACTCTGCACTATAGCCACCCCGACTATTTATAATTTGTATTTCCCTTCTCCCCATCCTCTTTTGTCTGCCTACCACATGTTTCCCACCTCTGTTTCATCAGAATTCAACTCAGCCACCAATCACCTGCTCATGGAGGTCTTTCCTGATTCCCTCCCTAAGTTAGAGACACACCTTTGGGTTCCCTTTATATTCTTTTCCTCCACTTGTCATAGTCCTTTTCACTCTATTATACTGAAGCATAATTCTTGGGTGGCTTGCCTCTTCCCTCATGCACCATTCCTTCTCCAACAAAAGTTTATCATCACCTGGACCAAAGAGACAATGTCTTTCTTATCTGTTCCTGTCACAGTACTTACCATGGCATCTGCAATTTAGTCACTCAGCAGATATCTGTAGAATGAATTCATGTAGCAAATATATATATATATATCCTGTTTCTTTTATTCTTTTATGCATAACAAATTGTGTTTGTATATAAATAGAACTTTGAGTGGTCCGGGTTCAAAAACATTTATTTAAGAAACCTTTAAACATAAAGAAGTCCTATGCATCAGTTAGCTTGACCTTTATAAAGTTTATGACAAGGAAAATTATAAAAATTTGGTTTATGGCCTGTTTACAAAGTGAAACAAAAACACAACATAACACAACACAATAAAACAAGACCAAGATAATGGGCATGGCTGTGTTTTTATTACAGCTAGTGTCATAGTTCATGACTTTGTTTTCTGTAAGAGAAAGTTTATTTAGAAAGTCACAGAGGTAGAAAAAGTGAGCTGTGGAAGAAATGGGTTCAGAGCTTAGGAGAAAGAGAAAGACAGGAAAATGTGCGTTGGGGCAAAGGTGTGGGCTGCTCCATTGAGAGCTGCCCGTAGTTTATGACATTTAATTGCTGTTATACAGTCTAGAGGAAAGAACACTGAATGTGAAACTGAGATTCAGCAGCTTCAAGGACAGACATTTCATGGAAACCATGACTGACATTGAACCCTGGTCTTTCATACTTTAAAAGCATCTGAGTCCTGTGGGTACTCATTAGAATTCCATTACTGAGTTGATGTGGCATAATAATAAATGACTTGCAGTTTCTTGTATAACAATATTTATGCCTCTCAACCTCTTTCATTAAAATATTGCAATGGTGAAAGAATAAATCATATTGTGATCATTTGTACCCTTTATGTAAAAAAAAATAACCTGTAAAACACAGATATTTTCAGTATCATTTAGTTTAGATTATAGACTAAATGATATCTACTTTAAAAACCAGGATCTGGAAGAGAGGGTAGCTGAAATATTATGCAAGAAAACAATCTTTGAAATATAGTGATTAAATTAATAGGTATTTGAGGGCAATGGAAACATTGACAAACCAAAAGTAACTTTGGGGAAATAAACTTATTGTAAAGAGATTGAAGTTAACCTCTTGTTAGTTATTGTGAGATCTTTACTATTTCAGTAATATGAGTGAGAAGAATAAAAAGTAAAAATACTTGAATTGATTCTTGGGAAATGCACACAATTCTGAGAGCCAAAAAGACTGCAATCTTTTTTTTTGAAGGACTACGTTAGAAGCTCTGCTGGCAGGGAAAAAGAGTGAGCATAATTAAAACTAAGGGGAAAAATAGAAAACTGCTATTGGGAATAATCCATTACTGACAAACAGTATAGATTATAGGTGTCATTACTCCATGATTTTAACTTTTATTTTAAATTGACTTTTCTTGCTATATGGGGATTAATTAAAACCCTTAAAAAATAAAATCAAAGTTTACCACAAATATCAAGCAGATTCTTGGATCCTGGAAAATGCTCTCTATGACTTCAATTAATTCTGATGATAGAATTTCAGCATATGGTACTTGGGGACAATATCTAATGCCACCATTCCTTGGCCTATATAAAGAATTTTAAAAAAATAGAATTGCCCTAATAATGCTTCAATGTCATGAGCTCCCTTTTATTGTTAGATTCTATAACCTCAGGGTCTGGCAAATGCCAGATGTTTCATAAATGTTAGTTGATTGAAAGGTGACTTATAATTGCAACTTTCCAAATTGATCATTTTTACATACTTCTGGAGAAACCTAACAAAGAGTCTAAATGATTTAATCAACTATGCCATTGTAGTTTTTCATTAAATATTTTTCATTATTTAATTTATTAAGGGATTATTTAGTGTCCTTCTGTAAAGCACAGTTATATTTTAAGTATAAATCCAGACAGTTTAACTGAAAAAAAAATCGTCACTTAGATTAAACTGATGGGGAGATGGGGCTAAAGATGAACATGGTCATATTAATGCTGTCATCATGCTCATTTATTTTAGCCTAAACAACGAACCTCTATTGTGTCTTCTCTGGATTTTCACCGCATGAATCATAACCAAGAGTATTTCGAAATCAACACGTCTACAGGGTGTACAAGCTTCCCTTCCAGCCCTCCTGTTAGTCCACCCACCTCTTCTGTGGGAACCGCAGAGGTCAAGAATGAGGGAACTGGCCATCCAGGTAAAGCAGTTCACTATATTTCTCAACTTAACTAAAGCCTTTATGAGTTAGATTCATTAAGAGGAATCCTTTGTACAAATTGTGCTGGGTTCTTTGATCACCTACATCTGAGGCAATGTAGGGCTTTATGATTTTTGTCAGAGTGTGGGTATAATATTCTTTCTGAATACATCAATGGCCTTCTAGGCATTAGATATTAAAGATGATGTTATAATGATATTATGATAAAATAATAGGGGTAAATACTACTATTTACCTCTCTCCACAGAGTGGTAGCAACTCATCAATATATGCCATCTAGCTCTGAAGCTAGAGACTTTGTTTGGCTCAAGGTTATCTGGGAAGATTAAATTGAACAGTGTGGTCTAAGTGGGATATCAATCTATTCAAATCAAAGTGAACGTAGAGAAGAGGGGTATGAAGAAATAAGCCTAGGGGTAAAGGGAAGATTAGGAAAGGAACCACACCCAGTAGTCAAACATCCCTGGTTCCATCCAATCAGATTTGCAACACTTCCTTTCTTGGGGGGGTAGGAGCTAATGACTGGTGGACAGAAATAGGAGAAGTGGGGCCTAAAGGATATCTTCTGTTTATATCTAATTGAAAGCAAGTGAACTATTCAACTACTTTTCTTCAAAGAGGTATTATTTTAAAACTCTCTCTATATAATTAATATGACTTTTAGAATCATAAATTATTGTACATGTGTGTATTTCATGTAATTATGTTCAAAATGAATGTGTGTAGAACTATATGAAAGAATACACATATTCTTATTTAAGTCCTTTATACTGGCTATGCTTTTAAGAACACTTTAAGAAGACTAAAATTATTTCAAAAATTTAGCCAGAGAATTATTTTCCCCTAGGAAAACAACTAAGATTTTAAAAAATAATGATTAATGGAAGTGGTGAGATTGATATTCTGTGGAAGCTATTCTTCAATCTTTCCATGGCAACCAGATATTTATAAAATGTAAATCAAAGCATGTCATTATCGTGCTTAAGATGCTAGATGGCTTCTCACTGAACTTAGAATAAAGTCCAACTCCTTACTGTGGCCAATGAAGTTCATTGTAACCTCGCTCCTAACTAGCTCTTTAACCTAACCTTTTGAAAACCTATCCTGGCTCACATGGGCTGTCTTTGCTAGGGGTTCTGGCTCTGGGGCTTTTGTACTTTGGCTCTTGCTGCCTAGAATCTCTGTGTTCAAATTTTTATGTAACTGAGTGTCACTTGGGTTTTGACTCAGATGTACTTCCTCATAGACGCTTTCCCAGGTTCCTTCAATATAATGATAATTATAATAACGATGCAAAAAGAGCAATAGTAATAATATTAATAAGCAATAGTATTTAAGCAAATGTTTAAATAATTTTCATAATGTTTTCAATATTAAATTTAACTTATAATTATTATAAATATTTAATGTCTTGAATTTAATATCTTTAATATTAAGAAGAAATAAGTATTTAAGCAAATACTTAACACTATGCTTCATACACTGTTTTAGGCATTTTATGTATAAACTCATTTAAACCTCATAACTGTTATATGAATTAGGTGTTATTTTTTATAGACAGTGTAACACAGGAAGAAGCTAAATAACTAAATAACAGCCCATAATAATAGAGCTGGACTTCAAACTTGGTGGTAGAGTCCATGTTCTTAAACATTTTTCAACATTGCCTCGTTACTTTGGCCAAATCATCCTGTGTTTTTTTCCAGAACCTATTTACTATCTAAAATTATATTGTTCACTTGTGTACTTACTTATTGTCTTCTCTCCTCTTTCTGGATTTGTGTTTTAGAATGGATGGGTCCCTGATACATTGTAGGCTGCCTCAATTTGTTTACTAACTATGAGACTGGACTTCTTACCTAGCTTTGAGACTTAACCTCTTTATGCTATAGATTTTATCTATAGAATTAAGTTAACAATTAATTAATTGGATTAGCTTGCCCTGTAGTGCAGTCATGCATGTAAAGTGATTAGTGCCGTGTCGGGTACATATTGTTAAATAAATGTTAGTAACTATTAGTAGTAGTCATTATGTTAATGAAACCTAGTATTATTCAGTGAGCATGGGCATTTAGTGTATGTCTGCCTTACACCAGATGCAAGTTTCCAGGAGAGGAGAGATGGGACATTATTTGTAAATAAAAGTGGTATGTGAACCCCAGGAAGGGTTGTTGGCAATTAACTCATAATTAATACTTAGTTGAATTACTCATTCCAAATTTTAAAAGTTGAAATGGGAAAAATGACACTGATACTTGCCTCTCGGGAAGTCTTTCTTAGCTTTACTTTACTGTGCTAATTGGTGTGTTTTTTTAATCATTAATTTTGAAAAATTTCAAAAATACTTTGAGATAGATAATATTTATTTATTTATGTATGTATTTATTTATTTATAAATTAAGAGTAAGAGAAGTTATGGGGCTAGTGTCCTCTCTCCACTCTGACCACCAGGGGGAGAGGATAAGAAAGACATCCTATTGCCGTCTGGATTTCAGTGGCACCATCCAAAATGTGAGGAGAAATGATCATTTTCCACACATTTCAGAATTGTTATTTTCAGGTCTGACCTTTGAACAGAACTAAAATCTAACCTTTAACAGTTGAAATAATTTCAAATAGCATACATGTTACTATGGTTTCCTAATGTAATATGTCACCTCCATGTTACATCAAAAATTTTAGAGTGGACTGATATTTAGTAATAATGAGTAAGGACAGATAGTGCTGATTGTTTTACATCAAAAAGTAAAACTTTTAGGTAGTTATTTATCCACTAGGAAATCTAGTATTTTATTATCTTACACATCGATGTTTTGCTATCGTTTGCATTTAAGAACCTGCACATGCAGGTGCTACCACATAGGATACATGGAAAGAGGATGAGTTCCAGTGTCAGTTCTATCATTGATTTCCTAGGTATTTTCCATCAAATCACTTGATTCCCTGAGAGAGGTGTTCCATACAGAATCACTCCCTCATGGTTCTCTTTCTGATCTTGACCACCACGGATCTCCTTCTTGTATGAACTTCTGAGTGATCTGAGAGCCTAGATGATAGAGTATTTCAGTCTAGTTGGTACCCCTAATGGTTGCCAATGTGTTCCTTTTCCTCAGGTAACAGTTTTTTTAAAATAGAGGTGGTGGAATTCTGAATCTTTTTGAAAGGTAGAAGCAACATTTTTTTGGATGGGTTAGGTGGTAGGGTATGAGAAAATGAAAGAGACCAAAGATGTGACTCAAGGATTTTGGGCCCTTTTGACTTCTGTAAGGATGGACTTCATATTAGTTGAGATGAGGAAGCTCAGTGTTGGACATTTTAATTTGAAATATTATTGTATGATCAAGTAGATAAGCTGAGTAGATAGTTGAGAGTGATTTTTTTAGTGGGATAAGGAAGGTTGGGAAGAAGCTATGTGATAATTTTATATTTATCCAATTAAGGGGTATCAGTTTTAAAAGACTAAGAATCAGTGCTTTAGCCCACAATGAGTGACCTGTGAGTTCTGAGTTCTTCAATGACAATGTCCTGGGCAGGTGTGCTGTGAATTGCTGAGGGGAAAGTAGCTAAGAATCACCAGTAATAAAAGATGCTTCCTCCATATGTAAAGTTGTTTCCAGAAAGCTCTATGAAGAATTTTGTTAACTAGCACTTTTAGACACCTGCTTAGGAATTTAACTACCCTAGATAAAGAATTACCGTATTTGCCGGCATATAAGACGACTGGGCGTATAAGACGACCCCCTAACATTTCCACTCAAAATACAGAGTTTGTTATATACTCGCCGTATAAGACTACCCCCTCTTCTGCACACCTTCCACACACCAAATAAAAGGTAAAACAATATCAGATTTGATTTTAACATTTTAATTTATATTCAAATGCTTATGACATGCAGGAAAACTGTCACAAGGCTGTATGTAATCAAACATATACATAAAACAGTGCAAGTTTATTACCGGTAAACATACCGGTAATTCACTAAAGAAAACACACTCTATAGACTGGTACCGTAGATGCTTCTCAGGAACACAGGCAAGCAGCCCACAACCTAGAGGGACTGTCAATGATAGA